GAGCGAGGCAGTTGGGCTGGCCAAGGGAGATTGGGAGGAGAAGTGGACCGGGCTGCCGGGGGGGGGGTTGGGGGAAGTGGGGCTGGCCAGAAGCGCAGTGGGGAGAGCAGGGGGAAGGAATGAATTGGCTTACGGGGAGTGGGACTGACCTGGCCATATGTAGATCTTTGGACACTGCCCCTGTTTCCTCCCCTCCCCCACCGCAAAGCACAAAGTATGAGTTAGTCTGGCCCGGGGATTCTATCGTTTAAACAACTTAATTGTACTCGAGCGGGTGATGACATTTTTGGGTGTAAAAGGTACAAAAATAGTAAAGTACTGTAAAACTTAAAACAAAAATTCAATTTTCTCCAAATTTCAGTTGTACCGCCCCCGACTTCTCTTAAGTATCACTAAGGGTACTCGTACCACTGGTTGAGAAACACTGCATTAGAGCACTCCAATAATTGTTTCACTCTCACCTTCCTTCTCCTTAATCTTTCTCTCTGCCTCCTTCCCCCCCCCCCTTTTCCCTAAGGCTGTGTCTAGACTGCATCCCTTTTCCCTAAAAGGGATGCAAATTAGACACATCGCAATTGCAAATGAAGCGGGGATTTAAATCCCCCCCGCTTCATTTGCATAAACATGGCTGCTGCTTTTTTCCGGCTCGGGGCTTTGCCGGAAAAAAGCGCCAGTCTAGACCGGGATCTTTCGGAAAATAAAGCCTTTTCCGAAAGATCCCTTATTCCTTTTTTTAAGAGGAATAAGGGATCTTTCAGAAAAGGCTTAGGAATAAGGGATCTTTCGGAAAAGGCTTTATTTTCTGAAAGATCCCGGTCTAGACTGGCGCTTTTTTCCGGCAAAGCCCCGAGCCGGAAAAAAGCGGCAGCCATGTTTATGCAAATGAAGCGGGGGGGGATTTAAATCCCCGCTTCATTTGCAATTGCGATGTGTCTAATTTGCATCCCTTTTAGGGAAAAGGGATGCAGTCTAGACACAGCCTAAGTGTCTCTTCTCTGCCTTTCCTAGTCCAAATTTTCATTTTCTCTCTCCCCCAGTCTCCTCATTCTGCCTCTCTCCCCAAGCTGAAATAGGACAGTGGCCACCCTTTCAAAGATTATTCCGGACATAATTGGTGATAGTGGCAGTGTCCTTCATTTTAATTCCAGTGAATATTTCAGAAATCTTTAGTACATCTAAAACTAGAATGAACTTCATTTTGATCCCAATCTATGCAGCTGTTACTTTCCATGTACTTAGTGTTGTCTTTCAAACAGCACTATGGCCCATAAACTATGAGGAGTCTGAGTTGGAGAGTTGGTTAACATTTTTCAACTAAAAATGTACAGTAGGAGAATGTGGTTTTAATTTAAATCACAATATTCCATGGAAAAATGTCAATTTTTAAAAAATGAAACTTTTAGGTTTTCCCAACTGGAAGACCTGAAAAGTTTATTTCAAACTGCCATTGGAAACTAAACCATTTTGGTTTTCCATTTCAATGTAGTTGTTCTCTCCTCCCTACCCCCCTTCTTTTTCCAGTTGTAAAACATTTTAAAGGTAATTTTCCAAGTTCACTTTCATCTTTTGCTCCACCTTGGGAGAAAATGATAAATAACCCTGAAAATCTCATAACCAAAATGAAAAGCCAAAAAACTTTCAATTAACCTCCCCCCAAACCAACAAGTGAAATAATTATAAGAAGCAAAATTAAATTATTTCTAAATGTTTTGAAATGAAACTAAACTTAAATGTGCCACTTAGTTTTTGAAATGTTCTGCACAACCCTACACTTCTAGGTTTGAAAATTTTCTCTCATTTTTTTTTCTTTTTAAACAGAAAGTAATTGAGTTTTCCAATGAGCTCTGCTTCCTAGAGGTTTTTTCTGTGGTCACAAGTACCCTGAATATGATTAAACTAGAATTTTTCAATAGCCCAATGAGGGAAGTAGTGCAGAAGAGGATTTGTTAATTTGATTTCACTAAAATGTAATCAATTTCACTTAAATTTGCTCTTTAGTTTGAAAATAGTAGTAAGGATATGTCTACACTATTGGACAAAGTCAAATTAAGATACACAACTTCAGCTACATTAATTCATCTTCAGCTTCATCCTAAACCCACTACTGTCCACTGACTTCTGAATGTGAGTCAATAACTGTGTGGGAGAGGGGAGAAGGGCTGTTTGTCTATGACTATTTTATAAAACACTGGGCCAAATTAATCTCTGGCATCATTCCACCAAGAGGGAATAATACATTATACTGACTAGACTGATACCAGGGATGAACCTGGCTCAATGACTAGAAAATATCAAGGGATCACAGCTCCTCAGCTTGTATACATGTAGCTCCATTTGGGTTGTTTTTAGTTCATCTGTTCCTGAATTCAGTTCCAAATGCACCTGAAACTAATACACTTTGTTTAGTGTGCATAACTTGAAATGATTCCCCCTACTCCCAAATGCTGCTGGAGAAGAGCCTTTTTATCAAGAATTAGATCTAATGACTTTCTAAAGTGACTTGCTGTTTTTATAAACCCAAGGAAAACAGCATTTGTATTAACCCCCATCAAAGCCAGGACCCCACTGTGCTAGATGCTGTACAGACAGTCCCTGTCCCAAAAGCTTGTAATCTAAATTGATGAGGCAAACATGGACTTTGGAAAGGAGTCTAACTTGCAAGCAGAGTGAGCAGTGTGATGGCAGCAAATAGCATGTTAGTTCCATGCTGTTGGGGTAGTGGTGGTGGGGGATCATGGTTAGTTAGACAGGCATAAGCTGAAGGGAAACAGGTAAAAGGGCAGGGAAGGTTGGAGAAGAGGGAAGAGGAGTGATACTGAGATGGAGAGATGGGGAGGGTTGGAGCAAATAGCCAATCAGCCCAGGACAGAGAAAGTCCAGTCAAAGCTTTAGAAAGTGTTCTAGTTTCGTTCAGCAATCTCTGTTCATTCACTGTAATGACTTCTATTGATGAGAAATAAAGACATTGTGCTTGCTTTACATGTGAAGTTGTGCTTATAGTTTCGAGTTTGTGTTAAAAAATGACAACCAGAATCCCATCTCATTCAATCAATCATGAATTGTTCTTTTAAAGGAGAAGTACAGCACCAACATTATCCAAGGCATTGTAGATGCATCTTTTCTGTAATATGCTATGGTTGAATATAAAGGAGGTTGAATGTTTCATTTCCAGTAATGGTGAATAGTTGAGATATCAGAGAATAGCATATTCTACTTCAGGTTAACTAAAGGTTTGTTTAGGACTGTGAATGAAAACTAACATTAACGGTTTTAAAATCAATATAAATTGTGTTGCTCTGTCTATGCATTTGTCAGTGCAGTGTAATAAGCTAAGTAGCATAGCTAAGAAGCTTATATTGGGAACGCCTCACATCTGTTGTTCTATGTAATACTAGCCACTGTTTAGCAGACAACACTTCTAATAGAACTGCCACACCTTTAGAAATTTATAAAACAAGCTTATAAAATAATCTTATTGCCACAAAAGTCGCTTAGAAGACGGGTACAAAAACCAATAATGTAGATCTCCCATTATGGTAAGGAAACACAGAGATGGCATGGTTACCCTTAGAGCTTGCATATTTATTCAGCAAATCATACTAAAATAGCTAAAATACATTGGGTACTTGCAGTGCATTATTATAGATCACACTGTTACAAAAGCCTGCATTTTCAACAGTACACAACTGCAACTATACATAAATGCCACAACTGCTGAGTACTGTTTCTTGCTCTATATACAGCACAATTAATGCACCTAATCTATTGGAAAAGAAAACTTACAAGAAAAGGGGGTGGGGGGACCTAAGCAGTATAGTGCATGCCTTAGTATTTAACAGTCAAAAGGTAAAACAGTTCAGAACAAGGCCTGCCCTGTAAAAGGAAGAGCTAAAAGACAGAGTTATATAAAAAAATTAAGGTGGGCTTTCAGACTGTGTCTAACACAACAACATTCCATGAGTAAATGGTACTGGGGGTTTTTAATTTTGTTTTTTCTTAATTCTTTGGGAGCAAGAACAAAAATGTGAAATCTACATTTTGATACTGAAATATACTCTTTGCCTTTAAGTGTCTCCTTTTAAAGTTTAAAGAAAAAAATTGCTGTTTCTTCCCTACCACATCAGGATGAAGATTTTAAAAATTTTCCCTCCCCTTTTTCCCCAAAAAAGCCTTCTCTCCTCCACCTTCAAAGTGTGAGACTTCCAAAGACTATTAGAAAATTATTGCTCATCATTTTCTACGTTATGTGAACAGGATACAGAAAGGAGACTTACTTAAATTACAGTTTTGTGATTGCTCCCACTACAGTTGCATGTTTGTGAGCATACCCTGATCCAGAATCAGTCCCTCACTTTTACTCTATAAGTAGTTACTCACCCTACAACACTGAATAAGAAAGCCACACTGAAGACACAAGGAAACAAGTCAGTCCCATCTAAAGAACAACATTCAGGAAAACAAAGTACCAACACCTTCTCAGAACATGGAAATAAAAAATAACTCCATCAGAGCTACCTTGCCAAGGAGCATGTTTAAAGTCCAAAATAGCACCATTCATCAGTGTCTCAAATCCCGTGGCAGCATCTCAATCACTTACCACAAGGAAACCATGAGTTTCATACTACTTCTATACATCAAAAGAGTACATGGATAAAATATAGAGATATACAGACAATTGATGAAAATAAACTACTAGGCTTGTTACATCTAAATGGGGGAAAGGGGGACTCTCAGCCTCTGCAAGAAGCAATTAGGAATGGTGGAAATGGAGAGGCAGCAGTTTACCGGTTGCATGTCAGCAGTGGAGTTTGAGTAGTGGAAGACGTTGTGGCAGAACCAGGCCTGAAGGCCCACCTGTAATGTTGGTAAACATGGATTCACAGTGTGAAATTCTGAGAGCTTGAGTCAGAATGTAAAAACGGTTTGTATGATACACATTTATCCACTGTAATTCTCTAAAGCAAGGCTCAGAGTCCCATAGTTTCTTCTTATACTTGATGATTTACACAGAAACAATTCCCGATATATGACACCATGACCTCATCAACACCCATATACCATATGTAATACAAATGGAGGAATTATGATTAAAAAGAGTAGAGGTAATTGATTTCAGTGAAGTGATATCCATAGCCATTTGCTGGAGTCAGGAATGCGGCTTCAGTCTCATTGTTCTTCTTGCGATTAACTTCCTTTGGGATAGTAAGATTTTCCTGCATGGGGAGGACAGAAAAAAAGTTAGCTGTGTTTCTACAACAGCTGTTAAATGCATTTCTTTCCCTCCCCAACTCCCTCATATCCTTGTATTTTTATAGCCTTGTAAATGTGGTTTACATATTAAACACAATCTACTCAAATATAAATATCAGTTCCATAGATGGAAAAGAATTGTTTAAACAAGTCCAGAAGCCTTGAAGCTTCTGGTTGAATTTTGATGTCTTTGTTTTATTTTCAGCTGGGCCAGTGTGTCCAGCAGATTCATAAGAAAATAACAAAAAAGACCTCTAAAGGCCAGGTGACAGAATTCAGTCCCTGGCCACATGAATTGGATTCAATGAGTGCGGATTCAACCCATGGAGGAGATTGGGACAGAGTTATGCTTTAGGGGCTATAATCCTTCAACTTTTCACAATGCCCTGGAAGGGCAGACACTACACTATGCTACCCCTCAAAATGGTGCAGTCTGACCCAAACACACCCAGATAATTCTGTGGCCCGGTTTCACAGAGATTTTCTCTCCTCTCTGTCCATCGCTGGGGCCGTGTTTGGTTGGGGAGTAATACAGTAAAACTCCAATTGTCCGGCATCCAGTGGTCCGGCCCTCCTGATAGTCCGGCACCAACTGGAACCTTGGCCAGCCGGACAATTGGAGTTGCTCTGCCCCCGGATTCTCCAAGTCAGCTGCTGGTCAGTTTCACAGTGTCTGACTTGGGGAAGCCGGAGGCAGAGCAGCTGGGGTGCTGCCACGTTGGTCCCGCAGCACCGCCCTCTCCAACACTTCACCCGTTCCCTGCCGACCCCATCTGATAATTCGGCACCCCGTGGGTCCTAAAGGTGCTGTATTATCGGAAGTTTACTGTAGTAAGGAGAGGTCTTTTTGCATTTCCAACTCCAGAGACTACAAACCAGACTTGTACAGGTGGGTATAATAATGAAATGTTACGATGAGTCCACACATGTAACTATGCATAAGCCAAGAGCAATCTATGCCTACAGCTGCATGTGCACATCTTGCCCATGCTGTTGTTTAGTGCACAAATATTTGCATAATTAAAGCCAGATGGCTAAATACTTATTTTTTTCTCACACCTCTCCCCCAAATGTAGGCTCTGTGGGTACAAGCAATACCTTTACAGACTAGATTGAAGTGATGGTGAAAATCTAATGCATGATGTTTACACCAAATAAATCTCAGGTAGATTGCTTCCTGAGACCATTGTACAGATACTTGCTGAGACCCAAAAGCTAGGAGCTCAGAAAATTAACATTAATGAATTTGTCTACTAATTTTCTTAAACCCCAGGCTCCATTTTAATGTTACACATAGTTTGGAAGATAGAAAATCCGACTGGATTGTTCGTGTAATGTAGCTTTTCAAGCTTAAGACTCTTTATCTTTTTAAATGGGTTATTTATTTAGGCAGTTAGTATTCACTAATGAATACTTTTCCTATAATATTTTACTGAAAAAAAAAGTACACATCCCATATATTTAAACATCCCGATAATTAGGCCCTAAATCACTAAAGCATTGTGTGACATTATCTGATTAAATTGTGGCCATAAAATCATTGTTATATAATTGCAATAAATCTTATACCAAGCATGACACATAGCCAGAAAGTGTTAAGAATCCTGCAAGTTAAATGACCCCAAGTCAATCTGTAGAAACATGTTTAAAAATTATGTAAATGGTAAGTACGGCCATTCAATGCTAGATGAACTAGAACTTTGAAATGTAAACACACATCATTAAAAGTTAGAAGCAATACTAATTGTGTCTGCTTCCTTAACCCTTGGGACCTGACCCTTTTTATATCCGATCTGTTTAAGGTTTCATGCAAGGGAAACCTAAAATGTAAGGATTGAAATTCCAGTCCTAAACTGGAACGTCCTGAATAAATTGTTGGACATTGGACTATATCTGTGGACTAGATTCTCAAAAGAACTCTTTGCAACCACAAAGTTCACCATCTCTACTGTGAATCTGATCTCAGAATCCTATTGTACTCATGCCTGTATACGTATGTGTATATTAATCTCTTTAACTAATACTCTTTTTTTAATAGTTTTTAGTTTAGTTAATAAAAATTGTGTATAAGCATGTATTTGGATATGATCTGAAATATTCATTAACCTGAAAGGTAATGTGTCTGATCCTTTAGGATGGGTACACTTTTCTTATGTTGAATAAGATCTTCAGTGACCTTCATCTTATTTGACCTGCGTGGAAGCCAAAGGCTGGGTTGCTTTAAGGAAACTGTTGTTAGCTTCTGGGTAACTAGCAAGGTATAACTGTTTTGTACTGGCTTGTTAAATATAAGTATTGAAATATCCACCAGCTTTGGGGTTGCCTGCTTCATTCTTTGCAGTTTGGCCCAAAATGAGTAACTTCAATTTGCTCTCCTGACCCCCCGTGACACATTTACGCATGTGCTTAAAGTTAAGCATGTAATTAAGTATTTTGCTGAATAGTGATGGATTGCAAATGGGGCCTTGCAATGGAAACTCAGAAAAATTAGTAACACTACATCTTTATTTGTGGACAGAATGTTATTGGTTTTTAATCTGTATTTTGCTAGATAGTGGGTTTTTTAAGAGAACTAAAATGAACAGATGATAGAGCCATAACAAGAAGGACACTGATCAGTTTAGAAGAAAAAGATTATACTATTTTCTTCAAAGTTTACTTAAGAAATCTGAGTCCCTTTCTCATATATTGACTTCTTTCAATTCAGTTTTTTCAACAATTATAAACTCCCAACTTAAGATATAACTCCAGGAACTGAAAATATACACATATCAGATTATCAAAAAATGACATGAGGATTTTTTCTGGTTTTAAAGTCAGAATTTATATCAGGTTTTTCATATTACAGTAAAATGGTCCGGCACTCCTGATAGTCCAGCACCACCTGTAACCCGGAAGAGCTCCAGGCAGCCGGACAATTGGAGCTGCTCTGCCCCGGGCTTCCCCGAGTCAGCTGCTGCTGAAACTGACCAGCGGCTGACTTGGGGACGCCTGGGGCAGAGCAGCTGGGGTGCTGCTGGGTTGGTCCGGTAGCACCGCTCCTTGGCGCTGTGGGACCAACCCGGCAGCACCCCAGCTGCTCTGCCGCAGGTTTCCTGATTCAGCTGCTGTTTAATCAGAAGTTTACTGTAAATATACCGAGCTGCATCAAATTCATCTGCTGTCTGTCCAGACTGACCTAGCAACAGGATAAATTCTGCTTTCAGGTACATGTAGCCTCTGCACAAAAACATCCAATAGCAGTATTTAGCCCTATAATTATAGTCCTTGAAGTTCTTACTTAGGCACAATACTGTTGTGATGGATAGGACGAGTGCTGGCCTTTTCTGAAGATCCCAGCATTCAGTGACTAAAGGGTTAAATTCAGGTAGCTACTGGATGTTGGGAGGGAGCAAGGAGAGCCAGTGGTTGAAGGTATTAAGATTTGAATCGGAAGATTTACCTGCCTGCTGTTCTTCTTTGTGTGAGTTTAAGCCAGAAGTTGGGGGAACAAGATGACTTGTACCAGGCAGAACTACCATGTCTACAAAGAATAGTGGGCATGGAAATGAACTTGACCTTGAAGTATGGATCGGGTGTAGACAGGGAACGATCTATTTAGACACAATCAGGTTATTTTCTTTGTTTCGTTGTTTGGTTACACTTCTCTGTGCTAAATCCATGTGCCTCTCCCCCCTACACTGTACTTTAAGGTGTATCCCAAAGTGGAATTTCTCTGTTTTGAAATAGGTCTTTTTTTCAGTTGCTTTAAAACACCTAACAACCAAGTATGCTTTATCAAGTCTATCTTTTTGTTTTGTTAATAAAATCACCTTTTTAAGGTGATGATTTAATTCTTGTGTTCTGGAGGATAATAGGAGATCTGTGTATGCATGCCTAAGACTGAGAGTTCAGATATCAGAGACTGCAGTTTTTCTTCTCTTTTTTCCAATCTCTCTTGTTGTAAAAAATCTTGAGGTACCCCTCTGGAAGAAGTCCAAGTGGTTCTTTCTGGGTTCAAGAAGAAAGGGGTTTTTCACTTGGTGGTAGCAGCTACCTCCCAAGGCCAGGGAATATGTAACCTTGGGGAGATTGTAAGCAGAGCCCTATAGAGGCATATTTTAAGGTCTCTTGCAGGCCCCCACCTTCTGCACTCAAGTGAGGTACAGCCCTGACACCTGTCCTCTGTTCTATGGGAAGTACAAAGGGGTCCATGCTGCAGGAAATGCCATTTGTGAGGGTTCCCCTCCCATGCTTTATGAAATTGACTTATGGCCACATATATGCAGGCATAACTCGAAGCTGCTTTGGACAAAATACCTCATGTAACTGTCAATGTTAATGTCACAATCTGCTGGATCTGTATATCTAATTTTGGTGTATGTATCACTTTTGCATGTAAAGTTAGAGATATGTACAGGCAGTCCCCGACTTACGCGGATCCGACTTATGTCGGATCCGTAGTTACGAACGGGGCTGCCCCAGAGTACACAGACTGCGGGACCTCGCGGTCCTGCCGCCCGTGTACTCTGGGGCTTTCTCTGCGTCTCCCTGGTCTGCAGACCAGGAAGACACAGAGCAAAGCCGCAGAGGGGCTCGGGCAGCGGGGCAGCCCAGGCGCGCCTGGGCTGCCCTCCGCTCCCCTCCCCCC